TACTTATGATTTTATGATTATTTAAATGTATACATTTTTGTTTCATATGGGTGTAGTCTCTTTATTTCCCCCTCAAAATGCACCAGATTGATGCATTTAAGTCCAACATTTAAAAAAAAATCTTACCGGGGTAGGATGCCGCCGGACCCCCCTATATACCAGCCAGTAGGAGTCAAGCTTTACTTTCTTTTATATCCATAAAGAAAAAGTAAATCTGTTTACAGTTGTTTCATTATGGATGTTGAGAGGTATCCATATATCTCTTCATTTTGCTCTCAAAGTGCACCAGATTGATGCATCTAACTTCAATATTTAAAAAATAATGTTCCCGGGGGAGCATGCCCCCGGACCCCCCTAGACTAGAGGGTGTCAGGTCCACTCCCCACTTATAAAAATAGCACTTTACCACTGCACCCCCTCTAATCTCAGATGCACCCTGAGTCATTTTGTTTAAGTACAGTGAGCCTTTCTAAAATATACAGTAAAGAGACAAACCCACCAGCATTATAGGATATACTATGACTTTGTGCCAAATACTTGTTGCTGATTTAGAGTACTGGCACCTTTTTTATTCCAATTCAAGCACTGGTTTTCTGTCAAATTCAATACTGTAGTTCAAAACCGCGGTACCTGCTCACCATCTGTGAGCTATTTTAAGAATGCGCACGCTACGTTCGTTGTCGCGTTCGCGCGCGTCCACCTGGGCAGGCTGTTTGTGTCCTTCTCCCGTGACGATAACGGCTTGCGCTTAAAAAATTATAAAAACTCATTTGAAACTGGGGGGGGACACAAACGGGCGGACAGCAGAGCTGTTGTTCTCCGCCTTTCCTCCGCGCTTGTCTCTGATTGTGAGTGTGTGCATTCGCGTGTGTGTGGGGGGGAGAAGTGGAGCCCCGCCCTTCAGAAACAGAGCGGAGGGAGAATGTGAATACACAAGGCAGTGGACACTGAAATATGCACATTGGATAAATAACACAGGCGTTTAGTTTATTTAATAAAAGAGCACATGTTTAATGTGAAACGTGNTGTACTTTATTACTTCAGAAACAGAGCGGAGGGAGAATGTGAATACGCAAGGCAGTGGACCTAAACGCCTATGTTATTTATCCAATGTGCATGTTTCAGTGTCCACTGCCTTGCGTATTCACATTCTCCCTCCGCTCTGTTTCTGAAGTAATAAAGTACAGTGTAACACTGTACTTTATTACTTTTTAATGTACAAATACTTTGTTACTGTACGATATCAATAACAATAATCCACAGCTCCTCTCTCTGCTCCAGAGGATAAAAAAAATCTGAGTGCCCGAAAAAGAAATCGGGGTACCCGAGCAGCACCCTGCCAAGGCAGTAAACCTAGGGGAAACACTGGATGCTACTCAATCGGAAGCTGTTGGTACCTGTTCATGTGGATAGTTATGTCAATTGTAATCCCTGTAATGATGCTGTAAGATGTCCTTTTGTTGTTCTGTTTATGTTTTTTTATGTTTCATGTGGAACCTACTTGAGCAGGTCTCCCTTGAAAAAGAGATCAATGATCTCAATGGGATACACCTGATAAATAAAGGTTTGAAATTAAATGAAATTAAAGGGAGAGTCGTAGTCGAGTCCGAGTCATCATTACCTGTGTTCGAGTCCGAGTCCAAGTCACCCAAGGAGTGTCCGAGTCGAGTCCGAGTCATCATTACCTGTGTTCGAGTCCGAGTCCGAACTATATTTAAAATGAGTTTCCTTTTAGAGAAGTGATTATATTTGTATGCCAATATTTTCCTATGGTAAAGTTTTCGTTTTGCACTTTTATTTTGATAGTAATAAGATTGGGACTCTTATTTTGAAGGAACTTGTATGGTTAAATCAGTTTACATATAAAGATTGAGCCCCAGAAACCACATGGCTACTTAGCATGCAAAATGACATCATTCTGCATGTTAAGTAGCCATGTGCTTTATCCATACAGCACAATGCAGGGTGTGTCTCTAGACATCTTTAGATTGGAATATCGGGGCCCAGTACGTGAACTCGCCTCGCGGGTGCACACGCCAGGATAGAGGACATCAGACTCCAGAGAAAACTTGCTCGAGTCCAAGTCCGAGCGTCAATGTACAAGTCGAGTCCGAGTCATCGTGGGGGGGAAAATTCAAGAGTCCGAGTCCAAGTCAGCATACGCGAGAATTCACGAGTCCGAGTTGCGTCAATCAGTGCGCGAGTCCGAGTCACGAGTCCCTAAAATCGGCACTCGAGTCCGACTCGAGTGCGAGTCCAGGACTCGAGTACTCCTTCTCTGACACACAGTATTCATTTATTTGTATTAGACTCACAATACTGACCCCAGGTGTCAATATTGAGGCCCAGAGTGAATATTATGGGTGTAGTAATGTCTTTTATGACAAAGGGAAGCAGTCGTTATGACCTTGTATCCAATAAAACTATCTTATCCCCATCCAGACATGACAACGAGGAGGCTGTTCCTTTCATGATAATACATTTCAGAAAGTCAGACGCTTCTTGAAAATCTAAATGAGGAACACTCTTAGAAAAAGAATTTGCCAACTTAGATTCAAAACTATGTTAGAGAAAAAAGATTGGATAGTATTAATATAAACTTGTGCGTTTATTTATGGTATGTGGCGTTGCTCTAGTGTCACAGAAAGCAATGAGTGTGCTCAAGTTAGTATGCACTATCGTGTCACTAATCTTACTTTGAGCATACTCTTAAAATAAGTGCAGTCCAGCATGACTTTCAAAAACATTATTGTGCTTCCATGCAGGTGAATATAAAGCACTGCCCTGATCATTGTTCTTGTTGCCAGTGTAGGTAATACGGTTAGAATATTATCAAAAAATACACCTTGCATGGGCGGTAATCTAAATCAAGGCTTTAAAAACCAAAAGTGCAAGGATGATCTTGGAACAACTTGTACACTCTGGGTTGTGCAGTTGCAGCCGTGGAAAACACCAAAACAGTATTTATGTGGGTGGACAGCAGCCTGTTCTTCGAAAATGGATGACGATGTGAATTTCATTTGAATGTTTAAGTTGTTTTCAACCTTGATTCTTTGTTCTTTAGAGCTGATTAAAGTAAATGTTAAGCACTCGTTTCATTATTAAGCTCAAACAGAATGAGTATTATTTATAGGAGTCATATTATTACCTCAGTGCATCAAAAGTTCAGAACTTCCCTTAACAACCTTAATTAAATGGGGCTTTCACACCAACGCGGTTCTAGGACCGGTTCGGAGCTGGAACGATATATGTTACAAACAAATACATTTGACAGGAATTAGTTACTTCAAATGATTGCAATTCTAACAAAAAACTGTGGAATAAAAAAAAGGCCATCTAGAAATATGAACTTGCATTATCAAATCAAGAAGAAATGTAGCCAATCATGAGCAGGCTCAAAAAATACATTAAAATTAAGTTTGTTAAATAATAAGTATGACTAAATCGTGTACAGCCTTAATTCGTCAGATTTTAATTTGGTTCTGATGTGCAGCTGTAAAGGGTGCGGTCTCTATCCTTACACGTCAAGCTAGTCAATCATATGAGCGGAGATCATGCTATTAACTTTCACTTTAACTCATTCATTCTGAATAACATCTCATTGTTATTAATATATATTTGTATCCAGGATTAACAAATAAATCCTCCACTCGCATTTAAACAAACATATTGCTCAACCAGTTAAGCAAATTGTAAGACTGAGCCGAGTCAGTAAGCCTTTTCACACGGTATTCTTCACAAACTCATACATTTGTTTTTGGTCTCATTATATACAGGCAACAAGCCTATGCCTCGAATACACACACACAGGATATTTCTGCGTCACTGGATTTTTCTTTTTGGATCTTGTTGTCCCTTCTTCAAGGGATCCAACAAATGAATCTGTGTTCTGCTGTCTCTAGCTTTTTTATTCTAGGGTTGCAAGATTTACAGCATGGCCATCATGCCAAGACATTATGATGCTAACTTGGGAGGAAAAAGCTACAACCGTTGCCACCATAACCGGGGTGGTTATTTTATTTCAATCCGCAGGCCACATACTTTGGTGGGTCCCATAATTTGAGATTCACTTTCACTATTTCAGAAAGGATACTAAAAATATCCTTAGTGTCTTGTGAAAAACACTGGTTGCAGTGTATGTTTTCGTTTTTTGCCATAAACTTGAAACAAATCACATAACTGTGTACAACACATTCAACACCATGAAATAAATAGCCAATGTTGGTATGTCCTATATTTTCTACACAAAAAGCATTTTGTCAAATTTGAGAGACATACATTACAAAATGTGAGGAGCAATTAGAAATATTAAAACTCTGAAAGAGCACCCACTAGCAATACACTATTAAAACCACCAACAACGTTTAAGGCTGTAACTGAACTGCACTGTTTTGTTTAAATGTATTTACTCCTTCGGAATTGTGTCCAACCTGATTGATGCTGACATATGAACAAAAATAACTAGCCTATCCATTACAATTGAAAAGATTACCGTATGAAATTGAATTTCTGGAAAAAAAATGAGGAACTTGTGTTCACCAAATATTGAACAGTATGGCTGACAATTAAAAAACAGGAAACCAAATGTTCTGCACTAAGTGTCATCTTACAAATGAGACCTGGCTCCTTTCCAAACACAGTATTTGTTTGTGTGCTCCCAATTAACATACAAAAAAAATACCTCATGGGTTCAAGCCCATCACATTATCCTCCTTATTAAATCCCTCAACATCTTATTTATATACAAAGCAGGTGATTGAGCAGTTTAATATGTTTTTGCTTACTTTCAAAATCAGCTGTTGCAGTCATGGTAACTATGGACTATCCGTATCCTGTTTCTCAGTCTTTAACCCTGCTATTGTAACAACTTGGATAAAGAAATCCATAATGTGAATCATGTAATGGCACTTTTTTCAAATTACAGATGTAGCTATAATCCTGTCTCATATCTTTAGAAATTGAGCATTAAGTCTACAGTATTTAGTTCTGGGAGTTCCTCTACATCTGTCATTTTAAACCGTTTTTAATTTCTTTGTCCCCAAGTGGTTTAAGGCATTTGGAGAGTAGAGGCATGCAGTTTCCTGTTATAAAATGACGTTATGCTTTTATTGTTTCACGGTGCAGTTAATTTTAGAACGCATTTCTGATGGTCTCTGATCATTTCAATTGCAAAGCTAGCAGCCATGTTGAACGCCATGCCCTCATACACGGCCTGGGAGTGGGAAATACTGTTGCTGTGTGTTGTTATTGTTGGCTGTTAACACCATACTGTCATATAAACGCAATTGGATTTGTAGCTTATCTTGGGGGATGGGTCCGTTTCCACAACATAGAGCTTTTCCGGAAATGCACCAAAAGCACGCACAATAATAAACGTCCGCCTAAGCGAATTATGTTCCTTAAACACTTCAGTGCATTACCCCTGCGTCTAGGATGTTATTGTTGTTGTCGCTAGCTAGCTAACTTAGCCTGAATTTCACCTTTGAATTCCAAACCACGTCGCCATCTTGCAAGGCAGATTTTCATCGTAGACCGGGGACTTAAATTGCCTGCTTATTAGGCATGTTGCTTCGCTGCATATTAGATATTTGTACTCACCTCATATTTAGAAAATATATCGGTGTGAGATAAATGTATCCCTGGTCAGAAATATGTGTCAATTGTTGATTGTAAATCCGCGGGTTGTGAGCTGTGGACGACTGGGCAGACTGAAGGCTGCGCCGCATTTGTCGGTCGATGTCCCGACAGGGTAATATAAATTGCCTATACTCGGTTAGATCCACAGCTTTCTGGGATTCCCTAACAAAGTTGTGTGAACAGTAAATATATATATATTTTTTTCTTTACAAAGTAAGTGGACTATTATCTGGTCCTCTTAATAAACACTTTACATTTGACTCTTTAGTTTTTATATACCTTTAAGGATTATGCAGTGTAACAGCTACATCGTCCCCTCAAACAGAGTAACGTTCCTGGTGTTTGTAATTTTCAAATATACACATTTCGCTTAATTTATCTCATTTGACTACAAACGTTCAATGTCCCGTTTACTCAAATATGCCAGAAAAGTATTATGTTTCATAGTTATTTATTCGTTATCCTAAGAAGTTTATAATCAAATGAACCGAGAAAGCGACAGTGACTCCGAAGGAGTGAAACACATTATTGTGTGGCTAAAAGTGAGCAGCTATTGCTTTGTTGCAATTAGTTAAGACGCTTACTGCATTATCTAAAGATGGGGTGACGTTAAATAAAGCAAACCTTCCGCTTTTAGGTTGTTGTTTTTATACACGTGGAACCATTAGTATGTTAGGCTTTTGTCTGTACACGGATTATTTACGGTAACGGTCAAAATAATGAGTGTTTACCCGGTTGTCTTTATAGTTTTATCCTATTTTGTTTGGATAAAATGCATTTACTATCGACATCGAAGCTCTTTGGTGAAGTCGTTGAATCGTTTTATGAACGTGTTAACAAGCAGAGACACAGTCGGCGCAGACATCAGAGCTCTGGTTGTGACTGCGCATCCGGATGATGAATGTATGTTCTTCGCGCCAACGATTATACGTCTCGTTGAGTTAAAAGCCAGCGTTCATTTGCTGTGTTTATCCGAAGGTATGGTTTCACTACACTATTGTATCACAAAGAGCTTTATGACATCATTATAAAGTTATGGAGGAATGCTAATATAGCCTCAGGATAGCTGCTAACAAATGGAAGCTAGTTTTAATCACGTGCTTTTACTCATTTGAGTTAAATAGATAATAGTTTGCTAAACATAAACGTTAGATTGAATGTGAAGGGTATAGAAATGTTTTTGTACCATATTATTCGTCATTGAATTCTAAAATACACCTTAAAATAATTTCTATTTAAAGTCTTACTATGTTGTATTCACATAATAAAACCTTATACATCCAAGAACTTGTGATTTTTGAGTGAATTAATCATTCTCTCAACTACTGTAAAATAAAGAAAGCCAGTCTTGTGTTCACTGAATATATCTAATAAGGCCAACAGATCATACATTTGTATGAAACATGTGGGTGACAGAAATGTCAACAGTTACTAGCTTTTTCAGGAAAGGCATAACACATTTGGTGTTGATTATATTAAAAATCAACAAGGGTTTCTGGAGTGAAATAAAGGCAATCTCGCTTCAAAAACGTATTTTATAAATGATATGATACATAGAAGCATTAGGATACATGTGTATATTTCATTCAGATCGAACTTAAATGGTATTAGAGGACCAGAATACAGCTAAAGAACATATGACATTGTAAAATGTTTTACCTAGACATAATTATGTTAGCCATTATGGAGCATCAATAGCCTAATTTGTCCTCCAAATATTGTACAGGAAACTACTACAATCAAGGAGCTCAGCGTAAACAAGAACTTCTCAACAGCTGTGCAGTGTTGGGGATACCAGACTCCAGAATCACCATAGTAGACCATAAGTAAGCAAACCTATGCACCAAACATACAACACAACGTTTTACAAGTTAAAAACATTTTCTTCTGTGTTCCTTTCAATGTTGAGAAAACTGAGTTTGAGTTAACTTGTTAAATAAATATGTGTTTTAAACATGATCGTACTGTTGATTGGTGTTAGCCCGCAATGGTTTGAAACTGAAGCTAATTGTTGGCTCAAAAAATGACATAGGAAAATATTAATATATATCTGCTGCCCTTAATTCAGGAGTCAGGTCTCAGCATGTCTGCCTGTTGGGAGCCCATCAGCCCCCTCCCACCAAAAGAACAAATCACAACCATCCATTCTCACCACAACAGAGCCGATCTAGCCTGTGGCCTTATGTATAACTGCCTCTGTGTCAAAGGAAATAAATGAGAAGGCCCCAGGGACGGTGATCGGTCTTCCCTTTGGGACACAGAGCCCTCTAAGAAGCTTTTAAATTCCAAAGTGACATCCATCTATCTATTAAAATGCCCCTCACTTTAAAATACAGTAAAGCAATTTTTGAAATTTTAATTATAGCAAATGCAATCAATTTTTTTAGTTTATGTTTTTTTAATCAATTGAGTAAAAAGGATTAATGAACACATTTACTTTTGGGAGGTAATTGTCTATTTACTTAATTATACTTTTTTCCTTTTCATTACTGAATTAAAGAATTTAGTGGTGCTCAAATCCAATCTGTCTTTCATTATTTAGCCGTTGACAGGTAGATTATATTAGTGGAAAACGTTGGTATTTTTTGTTTGTATTGTGGGTTTCTTGTGCTGGCAAAACTTTTGAGGATATCTGCGTGTCAGTTGTAGACTATGGAATGAAAGGGGATTTTCCAACAGTTTTCTAAGAAACTAGTTGTCCATTCCAGGTTTCTTCCAGGAACTTAACAGTTCAGAAAATAAATTATAACTTTAGTGTGATAGCTCTCATTCATCTCCGAGTACTAAAATAAATGAGAGGAAGTCAGACAACAACAAAAAATGAATGTCATGGATGATGTACTGAAACAGCTTTGGTTAGTATGGCGGGGTTGTAAACTCCTCTAAGTTAAAACAGACTTCACTCACAGCCACAGTGGTTTTACATTCAAGCGGTAAGCAGAAATCGAAGCCAGGACCACTTGTTTGCCAAATTCTTCGAGGAACTCGTTATTCTTCTTGTTTCTTTTTTGTTGTGCTGTTGATGCAGCTGTAAGACTTCCAGTCTCTTTGGCTGTAGCTATTGGCAAGGTCAAGTTACTGAGAAATAAGTGGTAAAGGTGATGTTGAAGAGGGGGAGTTTTTTCCTGTGGAACAACCCTGCAGCTTCCCCTGAAATGTTTTGAGTTTCTAAGAATCTCTGGACCGCCCACATTTCAGTCTCTACACGTTGGCGCAACAAGAGAGAGCTGCATGAACTCTAGCACTAACCTGGAGCTCACAGCAGTATTCTGGCAGCCTGCCCAGGTTGTCTGCTCTAGAGAACGTGTGTGTGTGTGTGTGTGTGTGTGTGTGTGTGTGTGTGTGTGTGTGTGTGTGTGTGTGTGTGTGTGTGTGTGTGTGTGTGTGTGTGTGTGTGTGTGTGGGAAAATAAAAATTGGTCTGTAGTAACTTAATTAACTGAGTTACTCTACCAAAAACTAATTTTTGACAATTGTTGTAAACTTGGATCAGGTTGAATTTAGTATCTAACTGTTGAGAATCTACGCTGTTTTCCACGGTGGAAGGACAAACACAAGCGTAATGTTTTTGTATTATTGAATCGAACCGTATTTACCTTTTTTTACGATTATAAAATTTGTTGGGTATGTGACCTCCTCGACGAGATGCTAAAAAGAAATACCGTAATGTATGGTCCTTATGATACAGAACTTGATTCGCCCGATCCCTCGAAATTTTGGTTAATCTCGAGTCAAACACTTTTACAATGAAGTTGATGAAATTAATGTATTAGTTTGGAGTTAGTGAGCATCATAGTTGAGGTTCAGGTACAATTCTACGTTGTTCCGAAACTAAGATAACTGTTACACGTCGAAAAAAGACAAAAACATTTATACTTTTTTTCCTGTCCAGTCGGTTGACCAACGCGTTTGTACAAAAACGAAAGAAGAAACAAAATTTTACTGCTCGTATTTTTCGTCCCTCTCCCATTTCAGGGGTACCGTACCTTGATATGAAACCGTCTTGTTCCCAATCCTCGTTTCTCGGTTTCACACCGAGAGTTATACGTATGTGTACATTCCCTTTTTTTTTGTTTGTCGAACCTTACTGGATGTAATCTCGACACGAGTCTCGTACCGGTTTTTACATAGGGTGTCGGAACCGTCAACCGTTTGCCTCGTTCTCCTCCTCTTCCTCCTCCGCCCACCACCTTTTCTCACCCTCGTCTTCTCTCTTTCTACTCTCTCTCCTAAACTCTGCTCTCTCTCTCTCTCTCTCTCTGTCTCGACAACACCCTCTCTGCACCCCGAGAGTTACACGACTAATCCAAACACAAACTCGTTGTCGTCTTATGGTGTCCCTTTCCCTTTTACCCGATGAGAGGTCAAGTCGTCTTCACGTCTGTCGTGATTCAATGTTTCAAGCTCACTACGAGACCCACACGTGCGTAAAATATTTTGACGTAAAATTTTATGGGGTGTCGTGTGTGTGTTGGTGTGTGTGTGGTGTGTGGTGCTGTGTGTGTGTGTGTGTGGTGTGGTGTGTGTGTGTGTGGTGTGTGTGTGTGTGGT